TATATATAGTTTACATTATGTTTAGTCACTTTATTCTCTTGCTACTTCTCTTTGAAAAAAGACTATAGTTCTTTGGTCTATAGACATCAATTCTTGGCCAGCTAAATGAGGGTTTGCCACTGGATCCAGAGAAAGTGAGGTATCTCCTTCTAAGCAGAAGATATCTATCACTGCTTTTAAACCTATTCCTAAAATGCAGTGGCCCAGGGGCCGAGGAGATGGCTCAGTAGAATAAGTGCTTGCCTAGCAAGCGCAAGTGTCTGAGTTCAATCCTTGGTTCCGAAAAAAAAAAAAAAAAATGCAGTGGCCCACAACAATAACCTATTATTATCTAATAGACCCGTGGATTGACTGATATATCAGTTGCTTTTCCTTGGGTTTCTTATGTGGCTGTTGCCTTGGGGTATAAATCATCTCAAAATCCAACTGGGCTCAACATCTGAGATAGCTCAGCTACAGAGCTGGAAGTTAAAGCCAGCTGTCACCTGGAACCTCAGCAGACCACTCACACATGGCGTCTTTATGGGCTTGAGCCTCTCCCAGCATGAGAGTTGCTCTCTAAGAGGAAGCATTCTAAGAAAAAAAAATGGGCCTGTCAAGAGATGCAGGTGGAAGCTGCAGAGTTTCATCCATAGGACCTACTGGCAAGCCCTTCCTGCTAGCCTCAGCCTACTAGCTTATCCCTGAGTTAGGGTGAGGGGGAGTGAATGAGGATGAAAGACAAAGGGACAGATAATGTTGAGAAAGGGGGCCAGGGGTCTCTTGCCTCTACTGGACAAAGACCCCCTGAGCATTTGGCTCACCTCATTTTTATGTACTTAGATATGGGAGCAAGCAATTAGGGTAGCAGAGGAATCATTTGCCTCCTGTTATCTATAGTATATGCACAGGTAAGCAACCAGATAAGCTGTGTTGATTCTTCCCTGGAACTTGCAACATGCCAGCATGCCTGCACACTGCCAAAGGAGCACATTGCTTTTTTTTCTCTTTTGTGCTTCCAGAGAAGTTCATTTCAGCCTCCATCCTCATTCTCTGGTCTCCTACATCTGGCCTCAGAATGTTGTTTTTACCATGATTCTATGGTTGAGGCAAATCATTAAGATCAGTCCATCTTCATTGTTTAATCCTTAAATTGTTGCTTTCCACTTTACTATAACTATTATATCTTTCAGGATTTATTTATTCTTTCAGGGTCTTATACTAGGGAGACAATACAATATTTACACATGTGGGTCTGGTTTATTTCACTTATGAGTATAACTTCTAGTTGTATCCACTTACCTAGAAAGGATTTGAGTTTGTCTTTTACAGCTGAGTAATACTCCATTGTATAGAAATACTACACCTTTTTCATCCATTCTTCAAGTGATGGGCATTTTGGTTTTTTCCAAGATTTGGATATAACAAATTGTGCTGCTATAAACATGAGTGCATATATGTCACTATGGTATGACATTTTCAGTTCTTTTGGGAAAATACCCTGAGGAAGAATAGCTGGATTGAATGGGATTCCCAGTCCTAGTTTTTTGAGGAATCTCCACACTGATTTCCATAATGGTTGTTCCAGTCTATAATCCCATCAGGAGTGGAGAAAGGTTTCTTTTTTCCCCACAGCCTCTCCAGAATTTGTTGTTAATTGTTTTCTTAAAAAAAATTATAGCCATTCTTTCTGGGGTGATAAGGTATCTCAGTGTTGTTTTAATTTGCATTTTTGGAATGGCCAGTGCTGTGGAATATTTTTTCATGTATTTATTTGACCCTTGTATTTCTTCCTCTAAAAAGTGTGTATTCGCCTCACATGCCCATTTTTGGATTGTATCTTTAAGTTTTGGGGGTCAAATTTTTTTTAGTTCTTTATATAATTTAGATAGAAATCCTTTGTCTGAGTAATTGTTGGTTACAATGTTTTCCTAATTTGTGGGTTATCTTTTCACTCTGTTGGTGATTTATTTTGACATATAGAAACTTCTCAAGAAGATGAGATCCCTGCTGTTGATTCTTTGCAGTATTTTCCGTGCAGTTTGTTTTTTGTTCATGAATTGTCTTTCTGCTCCTATTTCTTCAAGATTTCCACCTACTTTCTCTTCTAGGAGATTTAGTGTTTCTGTTTTAAGGTTTAGATTTTTAATCCAAAAAGTTTAACTTAAGGGTTAAACACATAAAATGAGAGAAAGGAGAAAAGATAGGGAAAAAAGAAGGAGGAAAACCACACAAGTATATATACAGGATGGCAGAGATGATTGCATTCATAATTTCCATTTTCTTTGAAAATAGCATTTAATGTTTAGAATTTTCACTTTGACTAATTCTGTATGCTTATATCTGCAATCTGAACAACTACACCAAGGACAGCAATATGTAGTACAAAACCCATGATTGAATGCCTCTCATCTTGGTCTTTTAAATGTGTACCATTTCTAATATCTTATCAATTATTATGCTGTCTTTAAAATAAATTAAAACAAAAGATAAGGTGAAAGCAAGTGCTAATATTCAATTATTTGTCCAAATTTGCATACCTATATCTGTTAATCTGAGCAACAGATTTGATAATTAAAAATAGATAATATAATATTGTTAATTAGATATACCTGTTTTGAAAATCTGTAACATATGCATTGCTATATGTTACTCTGTTTCTGTCTCTTCTATTTGTTTTTACTCTTCAAAATAAAAGAAAAGAAATGAGGGAAAAAAATAAGATCAGTCCAGATCCAAGGTAAAATTCTACTTTGTAGGAACTCCAGATGCACACAGGGAGGGAAGGAATTGCATTGAAATTGTACCCTATATATGTAGAAATATGTATAATTTTTACATGCTAATTAGCTTTTTAAAGTGAGATTTGTTGAATCCTCCTAGATACAATGCTATAGACTTATAGTTTATTTTTATGTGAACTAAGAAACAAAAATTCAGATTACTTTATAACGTGGCATTCATTCATTGTAATGATCTTGATCTGTAGCTGAACCTAAAATATTTCCCAGGTCGGCCTGGAGTCTCTGTGATGAGTGTTTGACTTTCATTAAACCTTAGCTAGGTCTTATTCCTGAATAATGTTGTCATCCGACATACTGACAAAAAAAATGTGAACATTTTGCCCATGGTTTCATTTTTCATAAACCTCTTCATTCTGATTCTAGTCTTTTCCGAGCTGTCAAAATTCCTATCAAGCTAGCCATGATGGTGCGGTCCTGTGACCCCAGGTCAGGCATGTGTATCCCAAGCTTGAGGACAATTTGGACAACTGCCTCAAAATAAAAAAAAAAAAAAAGAAACGTAAAAAATAAAGAGGTAGGATGTAGCTCAACATTCCTTTTGTTCAATCCCAATACTGTGCCCCCCCCGCAATCCTATCAAATATTTTCCTCCCTGGAAGTCTGATTCTTAAGTTCTCCCAGATGGCTCACTTACACTTTGGCCCTTTATTTGTTATTAAAGTCAGCAAGGCCCAGACATTTCCAAAAAATGATCAAAGTATTTACTGGCCTTGCTGGAAACTGGCTGTTGGATGACAGAAGACATGGGACCCAAGGAGGGGGCACCCCTTCCAGGTGGGAGCCATTTATCTCAGTGACCCTGGCCACTAGGGGGAGCCTGGAGCTCTCCGACTCATCCCACTATTGGCAAGGCCCTCTGGCTGGCCTCAGCTTGTATGGACCATCATCATGGGTTTTATTTTGAAAGCCTACAACACTGCTGACCGGCTGGGCCTCAGTGAGGGTGCTTACCTTTATTGCCCCTCCTTCCCTTTCTCATCTTTGTACACAAGTACTGTACTAGGATTTATCTTTTTTTTTTTTTTTTTTTTTTTTTTTTTTTTTTGTCCAGACTGAAGATGGAATCCTGGGCCTTGCACATGCTAGGTAACTAAAGATTACCTTTAACAGGGTTTTCCAAACTTCAGTCACCCCATCTTTGCATCAAATTTGTACACAAAAGTATACATTACTGAAACTTTTCTTGGGCCAGGGATGTAGCTCAGCAGCACAGCATCTACCTTGCAAGTGCAAGGTCCTGAGTTCAATTTCCAGTACCAAAATAAATAAAAACAAATAAATCTTTTCTTTAAAGCAAATTCCAGTCATTGGTTAAGTTTTTGTGCATATGTCATCATTGAAAATGTTGGAAAATCAGCATCACATGCCATAGCAGAGGTAACTGAGAAAGGAAAACACAACTATAAAATAATAAGTATCTTGTAATATTCTTTCAAATCAGCTTGTGCACCACTGGTGATATGCTGACCCAGTTTTTTTTTTTTTAAGTATTTAGTAAAGGGTCTACAGGGTCTCATTAGACAGATTGGACTCATAGTGATCCTCCTGTTTTCAGCCTCCCAAGCACTGGGATTAAAGGCTTATGCCACCATGCCCAGTCTCAGTCACCATCTCAGTGCACCCTGGGGACAGGGATGGCACAGCATGCTGGGGATCGAACTCCCAGCTGCTGTACTCTGCCTAAGCATATGCTTTAGTCCGCTGAGCTATCTGGCTGGCCCTAGACCCAATTTTGGAAACAGTGCTCTAAGGGGCACAGCATATGATTTTAAAGATCTCCAATCTGAGCGGCCCCAGTTCTCCAGTTACACAGGTCTCTCTCTTTCATTAATTAACCAAAACCAAAACAAAAGCAAAAAAACAGCTTAAATCTTCCTTCCATACTTTATGGCGAGATTTCTGCAACTCCCCCTGACCCCAGGACTTTAATGGATTTCCAAAAAGCGTATGTTTTTCCAGGGTGTGTGGACTACTTTCTTCACTGCTTGTCTCCTAATTTACAACCTATATTTCAAATGGTCCAAATGTCAACTCTAACTCTTGTGAGCTACAAGTTGCTATATACAACTGTGTTAGTTGATACATTGTGTCAACTTGGCCGAATCAGCTCTAGCAGATCTCAGCGTGGGGGCCTAGCCCTGCAGGTGGGCAGGGCCCAGGAATTGAGAAAGGCTTCCTGCCGCCCTGCCTGGTTTCCTGCCGTCCAGCCCTGCTTCCGTGGAGAAGTCCCAGTCTTTGGAGGAGCTTGATCTTGGCAGCCGCGCCACTTTGGAGGAGCTCTGATCTTCACTGTGGAGCACTGGCCTTCACAGTCAGCGTAGAAGGAAGAGAGAGGCTTGATGGACGCCGCATCTGCTGGTCCTCCTCTACTTTTCATTGTTTTCTGCTGCATGAACTGCTGTTGTTTGCTTTGGAGCCAGTGGAATATATACTGAACCCTCCAGTAACTGTGAGCTAAATAAACCTTTCCTTCCTTCATTTGGAGTGTCGGGTATTTGTCCCAGCAACGAATAAAAAGTAACTAAGACAACAACCATATGCTCAACAATTCCATTTGGACATGTTATAGTCACGTCAGACTTGGAAGAAGGAAAACAAAGCTCCTAGCCAATGTGGTGATACCTGCTGATAATCCCAACTCAGAGGCTGATGGAGGAGGACAGCAACTTTGAGCCCACCCTTGTTGGGCAACTTAGTAAAACCCTGTCTCAAAATAAAAAATAGGGCTGGGGAGATAGCTCAGTGGTCTAAGTGCCTGCCTGGCAAACACAAGGACCTGGGTTGGATCCCCGATACTGCATGCCATGCTGGCCCTGGAACCCTGAGCGCTCTGTGCTGGCCACTGAAACTGGGTATGGTGGAATATGCCTGTAATCCCACTGCTGGGAAGGCTGAGACAAGAGGATCACTATGAGTCTGAGCTGTGTAGCAAGACCCTATACTAAATAAAATAAAAAATAAAAAGGTCTGGGCAGGTTTCTCAGTATGAAGATTTTGCAATCAATCCTCAGTGCAACAAAAACAGAATTCCTGATCTTTCTTGCCCCAAATCAGTTTCTCCTTTGTCTTTCCTATCAGGGGAGTATTTATTTCTTTGCCCTCCATGAGGGCACAGACTTTATCAGTCAGATCACTGCTGAATTTCCTATGTATTACACCCTGCCTGGTACAGAGGTAGTATTTGTACCAATTAGCTTAAATTGTTATAGGACAGCGGCAGGCAACCCAAAATCCAGCAACATAGAGCAGGGTAGGTTTACTCTTACTCATACTAATGTCTCTCTGAGCTGTTAGATCTGTGTTCCTGTCATCTTCATTCCAGAAAAAAGACTGAAGCATCAGCTCTTACTGAATGCACTGTTCTCATGGCAGGCAGGAAGGAGCACTAACGGAAGTACTGATGATCCTTAACCTCCTGCTACTGTTTGAATTCCATCAGAAAGACCACGCCAATGATGCAGGGAAGCTTTGCCCCTCTAACTACCTGGGAACAACAGCACAGCTTACCACAGCCCTTGATAAATGTGTACTAGATGTTGACATAATGAATAAAGTGTCAGGCAGCTTCAAACATGGGTCTAAGACCAGGATGCCACATACAGATTAGAAAAAAAGGCTTCATACTTGAATTGCATACATGAACCCAGAATATACAACCTACCCACTGGCCTGAGATGTTAATTTCTCACACAGTAAGACAAAAATATCACACACGAGTCTCAGACAAGGGCCTGAAATGTCAACTGGAGAGGCTGAAGACCACCAGCCTACAAGCCCAGGCATCTCTTGTGCCCCTCCAGCACATTGGTCTTCACACTTGGTCTGAGCCTCTGGCATCTTGCAGACACCTCCCATCAGATCACCATCCCCAGAGTCCCAGATCGTCAGTGCCCAAGGCCAGGACCCTCACCATGTTTTATGGGCCTCACCGCCTGAGAATCTCCGAAGAATCTCACCACTGGTACGAATTATTGGGACTAGTTTAGTCCTTGAGAAACAAAGGCTTTCAATAGGTACCAGCCAAGGAGCTGCCTCAGAAGGCAAATCCAAGCATAGCCTATCCTGCCTTAACTGGAGTCTCCCATAGGTGCAGAGCGTAGGAGGAGGGCCAGCAAGTCAGGACCACAAGATCTATAACAACTGTACAAGATGAGGCTGAGTATGTGGTCCTGGTGGGGTAGGAGGATGGGGGGGGGGGCTTTCTGCAATATACACTCAGGAATACAAAGTGCCACACACATGATCCCAGTTCCTACCCACGGAGTTTTGACTAAGGTCTCCAGTATCAGAGGGGCAACACCAGCTGTGCAAAGAATGGAGGAATGGAGACCTCTCTGAGCACTGGCAGGGCAAGATTTCCGGGCTGTGTTGTTACCCCACCCACACGAAAAAGTGAGGGGGGTAAGGTGCAGAAAAACATGCAGCACATGTTCACTTTGGGGTGAGAACAGTGCAAGTACAGTGTACTCCTATACCTAACCTTCTTTTCTTCTGTGTCCGTGTAAACCTGTAACAGACACCCAGCGCACGCGAACCCTTGCCCGTAGGGGGCGCAGAAGGACAGCGTTCTGTAGAAGTTTCTCTTACCAAGTTTTTTAATGCAATCATCTTGACTTTCGAACCGTGTGCTGGTATTTATGATCTTTCCCCCCTAGCAAGCTAACTGTAAAGATAGGCCAGGCCACGCCTCCTCGTCGCACCCCGAATCTCTGCACTGCTCCCAGCTGCGGCCGTGCAGAGCACCCCTCTCCCGCCCACTGGGCTGACAGCAGGAGCGTCAGGCACAAGTCGGCCAGCCGCCTGCTCTAATTTGTATGGCAGGAGCGTGCTGCTCCCCGGGCCTCGGCTCTGGGCCTCCGTTCTGCCGTGGCAGTCTTCTCAGGAATGAGGACAAGGAGCTTTGTTTCGCCACGAATGGGAACACCGAGGCCCGGAAACGCAGGGGGCTGGGGCGGGGCGCCCGCGTGGCTGCTTCGCCGGCTCACGGGACCGGCCTGCTGCAGAGGGCCAGCTCCGCCCAGCGTGGCAGGGAGCCCGGGACCTGGGCGCTGTGGCCGAACAGTCTGTCCCCAGCTCAAAATAAGTATCTCCAAGGAAGTGGCCCTTCCTGCCCAGGAGCCTCCGCGCCTTAAGGCGACCCTTGGGCGGGGTGGAGTGGGACGGGGGCTCCCAGAGTGAATTTATGGGGGGAGAATGTGAGTCACCATCTTCCAGCCAAATGCTCTTCTCTATTCCAAACTTAGTTCTTTTTACACTTTATGAGGTGTGATAGGCATATAGGATTGGGGCAGACCTCAAGCAGCTTGCCACGACGCACCCCTTGGAGCCTTCTTCCCAACGGAGAAAGCAACTGCGATGGTCTCCTAGGCGCCCTCGGAGTCCTGCCCAGGTTGCCCCTGTCCTGACTTTGGGGCACCTCGAGTTAGCTGCCGGCCTCTGGCCCACACTGTACTTCTGGTGCCTCTGTTTGGCTCTTCCTGGAGGCTGCGGTGCCTGCTCAGGGCTGTGTTTTCATTTGCAGTATAAGGCACCATGTCTTCAGCCCTCTAGTGCTGACGGGCGTTTGTGTGGGGTGATGAGGACAGCCGCAGCGTGGTTCCGCTGCGTGCCTTCCCGGGAGTCCGCACACACAGTTCTCTTCAGCACAGGCCTGTTTCCTGGCACTCTGGAGTGAAGTCTTGCTGTGACTCTGAAGCTCCAGAAGGTTCCTGACTGTGCCCTACACCCTTCTCAACTCCTCTTACCTGTGCGTGCCTTTACATGGGTTTCTTATAAGCAGCATATAATTTGGTTGTGCTTTATCTGTTCTGACAATGTCAGCCTCTTGTGTGTTTAAGCCATTCATATTTAAGTTACTAACATAGTTGGAGTAATACTACTATGTAAACATGTAAATGTTTCCTACTCATTTCATATTGTTTCTTCAGCCACTCCTTTCTGCTTTCTGTGACTTTAGTATTGTATGCTTCCATTTTCTCTTCTCTCTGCATAAGTTGTTAAAATTAGCAATTGCCCTAGGAACTTGTAACATACATTAACATGTTTATTCTCTGTGTGTTTTAGTGCTAGGAATACAACCCAGGGTCGTTTTCACGCTAGGCAAGCACTGCCCTATGAACTATATCCTCGTAAGTGTATTTTCAAGCTATATGAACTATATGCCCTTAAGAGTATTTTCAAATAACAGTGTTTTGCTTCACAATTAGTATAACAGCTTCATTCTCAATTCCTT